ATGTCAGTTTAAGCATCTCTTGTGTAAGTTGTGAGTCCCAGAAGCAAAATCTTGCAGTTGAAAGGAGATCTGATGAACTTCTTCCTTCCACCAGTGGGTTTGACAACAGAGCATTGGCATCATTTGTAGCAGCTACAATTCTGAACAGGGACCTGATAAGTCCTTTGCTGGAAAGCTTTCTTCAGCCACAAAGGCTTTGTCCTTCTCCTGCAGTTGAAGCATGATACCAGTCTACATGGCAGGTCTTTCGTAAAGGTCACTTGGAGCAATGTCTGTTCATGGCATTGTACTGCATTTTGTCAGAAACATTCCAGGATTCCGTTTTCCATCAGGATCTAGTGTTGTGACACAGGAAAACTTTCCTTACACCATGCATAATTTTAAACACCTTCATTTGTGTCCCCTTTCCTTGCTCTTCTCTTTCCTAAACTAAAATGTTGCATATACTTATTCCTTCCAGAGCATTATGTGGCAATCTGAGAAAAAAATCATTCCAATTAAACAAATATAAAGGTAAAGGGACCCCTGACCATTAGGTCCAGTCGTGACCAACTCTGGGCTTGCGGTGCTCATGTCGCTTTATTGGTTGAGGGAGCTGGCGTACAGCTTCCAGGTCATGTGGCCAGCATGACTAAGCTGCTTCTGGCGAACCAGAGCAGTGCACGCAAACGCTGTTTACCTTCCCGCCAGAGTGGTACCTATTTATCTTCTTGCACTTTGACGTGCTTTCGAACTGCTAGGGTGGCAGGAGCAGGGACCGAGCAACGGGAGCTCACCCCGCTGCGGGGATTCGAACCTCTGACCTTCTGATCAGCAAGTTCTAGGCTCTGTGGTTTAACCCACAGCACCACCTGCGTCCCAAATAAAACAAATATAGTAACATATTAAATTCATTTCACAACAGTGAAATAAAAAGGCAGTGTAACACCCCCCCACACACACATGTAAACCCTGCACCTCTCTACCAGAAGACCTTCCTCAGCTATAGACCCCCAAAGAGTCATGACACAGACCTTGTATCATGCTGTTATTTTCGGAATTCTTATGACGTGTTAAGCGTGGCAATCAGCATATGTGAGACACTTCAGTGCAAGGTCTTATCTGGTTGGATCTCCAGGAATCATTGAAGAAAAACGGCATGTTTACAGAAATAGTCTGTCTCCAATCTATGACCGCCTAGTATAAATCTGTCCTGATCAGCTATGAAAACCTTGTCCGAACTCATAAGCTCCTTTGCTTTGTGGAGTAGCAAAATGATACAGTGAGTTGTTCACTTAATCAAAATTCACCGCCCGCCACAAAAATATATTACACTTCAATATTTGCAGGTGTTCTGTTCGTGGTTTTGTACTGTATTTTGTCAGAAACCTTCCGACATTCACTTTCCCATCAGGTTCTAGTGTTGTGGCAGAGGGAGGAGAACTTCTTGCACTGTGCATAATTTTGTACAGCACCATTGTGTCTCCTTCCCCTGGTCTCATTTTTTCCTAAGCTAAAATCTCCCAATTGTCATATCCTTCCCTCCAGCCCTTCAACCTTTTGGTCTACAATCTTCCTTTAAGGTGCAGCAACCAGAACAAGGTGTGGCCTTAGATTCTTTTGTTATCCATGCTATTCCTATGTAAAAGATATTAGCTCTGCCATTTCATAACATCATGACTGTAGGCCTACCTGTCGATGATCAAAGAAAAACTCGTCTGCCTTGTTTCTCAAGGAATCCTTTGAACATACCTGACTTTATGGCACAAACCATGAAACTGGTGTGGTTTTTCCCATGGTCAATGCTGAACCAGACTCTGCTGTTCCAGTAATTATTCAGCATGTGCTTTTTATGGTGTCGGAATTGTAGCAAAAACGTTTTCCCTTAGGGAGGGAATCTACTGAAAAATTGCCAGGAAGCTTGGAGATAGGTTTGCTTCAAGTATGGAGAAAGCGCAAAAGCCACCAGCCTGGACTACAAGGGGACAATCTAAATAAGAGAAATGTGGATATTTGGGCATTTTATGGGATGGTATAGATTAACACTGAGTGGACCTAGAGTTTGATCCAGCAGAGCTGTTCTTGGGTTCTTATATTATCCATGCTTAAAATGCATAAGCTCTGTCATTTTTGACTGATAAAGACCTATCTGAAGTCAATTAAAATGTTTATATTCAAAAGAGGTCTCTGCACTTAATGGACTCTAAGGCATGAGCTCTTGGTGCAACATGATTTTCCTGACAGTAAGCACTGAGGCAGGGTAGGCAACGTAAGGCCCGTAGGCCGGATGAGGCCCAATCGCCTTCTCAATCCGGCCCGCGGATGGTCCAGGAATCAGCGCGTTTTTACATGAGTAGAATGTGTCATTTTATTTAAAATGTACCTCTGGGTTATTTGTGGGGCATAGGAATTCGTTCACTCCCCCCCCCAAAAAAAAATAGTCCGGCCCCCCACAAGGTCTGAGGGACAGTGGACCAGCCCCTTGCTGAAAAAGGTTGCTGACCCCTTCACTAAGGGATTCATGCCTCTTTTTATTGTGTTCCAGTTAGGGTTAAAACTAGAGCTACTTATCTAGAAAAAGAGGAACTCACATATCTTGTTCTCTTATAATGACAGTGGCGCCCACTGTGTTGCAGCTGAACAAAAGGCCTGGTTAAAACCTCCTGTGTTTTCCCTCTGGGAGGGAGGCTGTCCCAAAACTGCTGGAAAACTGCTGAATCCCAGAGGAATGTAATACATGTGAAATCGCAGTGGCAATTGCTAGAAAATCTCTAAGGATCCCTCTGCAAAGACTCTCGGAGAGATGCTCTGGAGATCTTGTGTGTGCTCTTACATGACAGCAGATGAGTAAGATGAGAGCATTTTTTTAAAGTAATTTGGTACTATTGTATTGTTAAATGCCACCCCAATCTCTGAGCGGTGAGAGCCTTCAGGGGACCCTGACCTCAGTTTCCTTGGAATGAGCGGCAGCAGAGTCTACAGCATCTTTAGCATATACAGGGACGCGGACTTATAAAAAATATTGGGGGGGCCCGGGAAAGCTCATGAATAATAAATAAGCTCATGAATATGCAAATAAAGTGGCGCCGCCTCCTCGTGAGCGAATAGGGGAGAGCGTGCTGCTCCTATTAATCAGCTCCGAAGGTGGAGCTTTTGCTCGGGAGGGAGGGCAGGAGGCATGCAGCCCGACCCTGTGCATTTTGGGCTGGGGAGGGGCGGCGATGGCGCTCTGCTGGAGGGGCGCCGGAGATTATTGGGGGGCAGAGCCCCCCCAAACGAATTTTTGAGGGGGCTCGGGCCCCCTCAAGCCCCATGGAGTCGGCGCCTATGAGCATATATCAACAGACATATGCAACCTGAGAATAGAATGGAGGGGCTTACTGCATTAACACCCCAATGGGTCTTGCTTCTATCGCTCCATGGCTAGCTTCTCCACCTGCTCTTTGCTCAGCTCTCTCACCACACCCTGTCCTATTGTTCCATCCACCCAGCAGTTAAGTGAGGGTGGGGAGGCCCACTCACTTGCCCTATGGCACTGAGCAACCTCTTTTGTTATGCTGAGGAAGGCACTTAAGTGTCGGCCAATAGCATCCTCTATCAGCTTTCAATGCTTATAGGGTATAGCTTGTTTTCTGCTGTTCTGGAAGGTAGGACCCAACTAATGGCTTCAAGTTACAAGAAAGGGGATTCCAACTAAACATCAGGAAGAACTTTCTGAATTATAGTGCCATAGCATGGGAGGTGCACGGGGCGGTTGCCCCAGGAAGAAAATTGCTAGGGGTGCAAAATTTCAGCATCCAGTGCTGCCTCAATACAGCTGTGTGCTTCTGTCGCTGGGCTCTGTTGAGAGCAGCTTCTCCATGCCAAGCAGGAAGTGACCCCTCCAGGCAACAGAATGATTCAACTGTTAGGCAGTTGAATGTGCATGCGTACTCTGTCCATTTCCCTCCAACCAACCCCACCCCCGTGCAGCCCCGGGAACTGGCAATCCACGCTATGCCACTGTTCTCCCCTCCTGAAGTTTCCAGCAACTTTTATGCAGAAGCACACTGCCCCTGACCATGGAAGCAGAGCATCGACATTCAAGGCCAGGAGCCATTGGTAGGCTTCTCTTCCATGAATTCGCCAGATCCTCTTTTGAAACCATCCAATTTTCACATGCATTTTCCAGGGTCTTGAGGCTGAGGCTTCCCACCCCCCATTCCAAGCAAAAGAAGCTGGGCAAGTCCTAGACCCTTGAAAATTTACACCATTTGGGGAAGTGGGGAGAGCATAACAATATATTTCTGCCTGCCTGCCTTCCTGTGTACACAGAGGCTCCATCCATTTCTGTCAGTAAGAGCATTTAAAAAGCTTTCCAGTAAATGTAAAATTCCTTCAAGCTTATTTATGTCCCGCCCCCCCCCCAACAACTTTTCAGTTTCAATGTTTCACTAGCTTAGTTGCTCAGCATCATCCCATCCCACACAGTCCTGGGAATCATAAAGTCTTCTGAGAGACCGAGCATTCAGTAACCCTAGCGCAAGGGACATCAGAGAATTCTTGCAAGAAAAAATTCGAGAGCAGAAATTGCTGGTGCTTATTTATTTTTTCTTTGGAATAGAACACAATCCAGCAAGTACAGTTAGTAATCATATGTTGCTTTCAGTTTGCAAACATGATGGAGCTGGGCATGTTTAGCCTGGAGAAGAGGAGGTTAAGGGGTGATATGATAGCCATGTTCAAATATATAAAAGGATGTCACATAGAGGAGGGAGAAAGGTTGTTTTCTGCTGCTCCAGAGAAGCGGACACGGAGCAATGGAGCCAAACTACAAGAAATAAGATTCCACCTAAACATTAGGAAGAACTTCCTGACAGTAAGAGCTGTTCGACAGTGGAATTTGCTGCCCAGGAGTGTGTGCCCTTCTTTGGAGGCTTTAGAGAGCTTCTAGAACTCTTAGGGGTGGCCCCTTGTGCTTTCAACTCTGATTCGATGAGGCTGTTTTTCTAGAATCTTATAATGGCCACGGTGCAACCTGAGAGGGTGGGAACTGAGTTCCATTGAGTTCCAGCTGGGGAAAAAAGCCTTGATTATGCAATTGATTACTTCCCTCCATCCGCTTTGTGTTTCCTTCGCATTGGAATGGGTGGGGGCTGAATAACACAATGACAGCAGAATTTTTATATATTATGTAAATTACACAAGGAACATAATTCCATCACAGTGAACACTGGGACAAATAACATGGTTTGGTTGGTGGAAGACAAACAGCAGTGGAATGGAAGCAGTAGAGCATACAATCATCACAGGGCATGTTGTCTTTAGTTGGTGTCTGAACTTTGAGGTCCTGAATAGACCTGAGAAGCAAAATAGATGGTATGCACCCACCTGACTCGTGCAACATTATTCATTGATATAATATATTGTAATGTAAGTGTAGCACTTAAACTTTTTATTGTCCTTATGTCTGGATGAGCTTCACAGCACAGAGTTTCTTGAGGATACGTTGGCGGATCTGCTTCGTCTTGATGCTATACACAACTGGGTTCATCAGAGGAGGTGCCAGCAAATAGACGTAGGACATGAGTATGTGGACGATGTGAGGGGCACGTTCCCCAAAGCGGTGGATCAACGACAGGCCTATCATGGGCACATAGAAGAGCAGGACAGCACAGATGTGGGAGACGCAAGTGTTGAAGGCCTTGAGGCGCTCTTCTCTGGAGGCAATGCTCAGGACTGTTTTCAGGATGAAGACGTAAGAGAGGAAGATCAGGAGGGAGTCGATTCCCACCGTGAAGGCCACAACGGTCAGCCCATAGATGTGGTTGACGATGATGTCTGAGCAGGCCAGTTTCATGATTTCCAGATGCAAGCAGTAGGAGTGAGAGAGAACATTGGTCCTGCAGTAATGGAAGCGGCGGAGAAGCAGAGGCAGAGGCACAATCAGGGAAAAGCTGCGGAATGCAAAGGCCAGCGCCATTGTCACGATCCTCTGGGTGGTCAAGATGGAGCCATATCTCAGCGGATTGCAGATGGCCACGAAGCGGTCAAAGGCCATGGACAAGAGCACAGAAGATTCAACGAGGGAGAGGGAGTGAATGAAGAAGAGCTGTGTGAAGCAGGCGCTGAAAGGGATCTCACGAGCATGAAACCAAAATATGCCCAGCACTGTGGGCAACGTAGTGAGGCCACAAGCCCAGGTCAGTCAGGGCCAGCATGGCCAGGAAATAATACATTGGCTCATGCAAGCTTGAGTCTGTTCGGATCACATGGAGGATTGTGCAGTTCCCCAAGATCACCGTCATGTAGATGAAGCAGAAGGGAAGGGAGATCAAGCGATAGGCGTACTCCAGCCCAGGGAAGCCCGTCAAGAGAAATGTGGAGGGGTTGAAGGTTTTGTTCTCCAAATGGGAGATGTTCATTTCACAAGAGAGTCCTACTTCACTTCTGTGCTTTAAAGTCAGTGCCTAGAAAGCAAAACAGTTTTTATTGTAGAATACTAGAGGTGGAAAGATCTTGCTAGAGGTGGTAGATATTTGCAAAACAAATAAATCATTGGCATACAAATTTACTTGGAGATGTTTTATGTTTTTAGATTGCTTTATGCTTCTTTACATGAAAGTATTGCGTTTTTGTGGCCACTTTTCCCCAGCATATTTATTTTCATACATATTACTTGGCGGAAAATTGTACTGAAAGATACCTATGTTTCAGTTCACATATAATTGTACTTTACTTCTTTCTTCTTCTTTTTTATCACTTTTTATCACAACAAATGTAACTGATCTGTAGAAAACACAACCTGAAGAAAGAGTCAATACATGTGCTTTTGTAAGCAAGGAAAATCTTTAACAACAACAAACAACACATATAATGTCAGAAAGTGTGGATTCAGAAGGTTTGCCTATAAATGCAACACTGAGTCAAGTTTCTCCCTCATCTTTACTTCTGGGGTGCTTGATCATTTCAGGGAACCTAGGTGAGCAGAGCAGAAGTTCAGCTCCCACCATGTGCAGGCCTGTGAGATTGGAGATGGTGGCATATGGAAGAAGAGAGCCAGGGAGCCTGGAAGGGGGTTGTCGTCTTCTTCTGATAATCTGGAACTTATCTTGCTGTTAACACAGCCCAAGGTGGCATCAACTATTTTTCTCAGTGGAATTGTATATTTATCTATTCATTTCAATTTCAGAGCTACCCATCAATAACTTTTCCCTGAGTGGCTTGCCACAAAACAGAGGTAAAATATAATGGGTGGGTATTCATAGTAAAGGTAAAGGGACCCCTGACCATTAGGTCCAGTCATGACCGACTTTGGGGTTGCGGCGCTCATCTCGCTTTATTGGCCGAGGGAGCCGGCGTACAGCTTCCGGGTCCTGTGGCCAGCAGCGCACAGAAACGCCGTTTACCTTCCCGCCGGAGCGGTACCTATTTATCTACTTGCACTTTGATGTGCTTTCGAATTGCTAGGTTGGCAGGAGCAGGGACCGAGCAACGGGAGCTCACCCCGTCGCAGGGATTTGAACCGCCGACCTTCTGATCGGCAAGTCCTAGGCTCTGTGGTTTAACCCACAGCACTACCCGTGTCCCTATGAAATCAATGAACATGACTAAGCTAGATCCATTCATTTCAATGGGCGTACACTGAGTAAAACTTAGTTGAACACCACCCAAAGTATTCAGGTAGGTAGCCGTGTTGGTCTGACATCGTCGAAATATATATATTTTTTAAAAAAGTCCAGTAGCACTTCAGAAGAGTATCTGAAGTATCTGAAGAAGTATGCATGCACACGAAAGCTTATACCGAGAACAAACTTAGTTGGTTTCTAAGGTGCTACTGGACTATTTATTTATTTATTTATTATTTATTTTATATTTCGGCCACCCAAAGTATAATAACTAAAATCAGCAACAAACCTCAGAAGACAGCAAAGCATTCCACCTTCCTTTAAGTGGAGACTTCATTATGATGATTCTTATAAAGGATCAGCCCTGCTGAAGCAGCAGCAGCAGCTTTTGATTCCTCCTTGAAATCTTCCCCTTCTAGCTGATCGTTGCAAGAATTATGTAACTAAGAAAATGCCTGTTTGCTTTCTTTCCTGCTGCCTCTCCATCTCTCTTCCTTTCGTGTCATGCTGTTTGGTTTGCGTCTCAAAAATCTTTAGGTCATCCCGGAATCCTTCCCCCTCCCCCTGCAAAGAGCAGGATAAAAATGCTTTGAAAAAAATACAAATTAGGAGGCCAGGAGGCAGATTTGAGAAAAAAAAAATCTGTTTGAGATCCCTCAGAGCTGCTGCTGATCAAAACACAGATACTGAATTGGGTGGGCCAGCAGTTCAGCCACCAAAAGCAGCTTCACCTTCAAACTTCTTCTAATCAGGGATGGACGTAGAATGACGAGGTGCTGTCACTGTGAAGCACAGAGACTCCTTCTCTGGAGATCACTGGTAGCCGAGTAAGATCGTCTTTCATAAACAGTTTTAACAATGTGTCCGCAAGTGACTGTGGGGGCCAATTTTCCTGCACAAGGCCTGTTGAATTGAGAGCTCTTTAGCGGGCAATGCCTACATGTCTTGAAATCATTGTATCCTAGAACTAGAAGGGATCTCCAGGGCCATATAGCCTAAATGTTGGAGAAATTTAAAAAGAGTTTGACCTAGTTGGGGTTCCCTAACGGAACACCAAACGGACACAGGGGGGAAAGGTGTTTATTAACACAAAATCAGAGGCCGCTTACCAAGGTCTGGTGATAAAGGGAGCAGCTGGCACAGATTCTCTCCTGGACAGATGGTTGGGAGTGAGAGTGAGGTTGTGGGTCTGTGGAAGCCTCTTTGTAGAACTGGCAAGGAATCCCTTTGAGACAACACAGCTTGAGAAAGGGCAAGGCTCCTGGTGCCGATGTACAAGGACTTAGGGAATATTGTTGCTTAAGTATCTAGAACTAAAAACACAGCTGGTATTGCAAGTATCGAAGGGAAAACACAGCTGTGTTCTGTTCCCAAACAAACCCCACTGAGACCTGGGTTCAAGTCCATCCTCTCTCAGGGATTCAGCATGTGGCCTTGGGCAGATCTAACCAGTGCTGTTTTTCTTTTAAAAAAATAAGTTTAAGGGGTACTCTCATTTTGACACAAGAAAATCACCATTTTATAGTTCAAATCAGGAAAAATAAATACAGTAAATGGACAAAAGTACAAAGATTCACAAAATGTTTAGGGGTGTGCGTAACCCCAGAAAAAAGCACTGTGCAGGTGATAGGGTGGAAATTTCGGGGGGTTTCACTGTAGAAAGAGCCTTGTTCCATCCCAATTCCCATGGCATCCAAACTGCCCAGACCTGGAGCATCTCTTCCAAGTTTACAGAGTCAGGGGGACTGTGGAGAGCGGACCCCAATCCCACCTCCAGGCTTAGGATTCTTTATCATTCTACATATCCAGCAGACTTGGGAAGAGTGGAACAGAAGGTAGCTTGAAAGAGACAACAGCTTCACAGCTAGAGGGAATTCACAGAGAATCCTGTAATGGGCAGAGCAGGAATACCAGATAGGTGGGTTGGCAGGCAGAGAATAAAACAGTGTGATACCTGTATGCATTAGAATCATAGAATCATAGAGTTGGAAGAGACCACAAGGGCCATCGAGTCCAACCCCCTGCCAAGCAGGAAACACCATCAGAGCACTCCTGACATATGGTTGTCAAGCCTCTGCTTAAAGACCTCCAAAGTAGGAGACTCCACCACACTCCTTGGCAGCAAATTCCACTGTCGAACAGCTCTTACTGTCAGGAAGTTCTTCCTAATGTTTAGGTGGAATCTTCTTTCTTGTAGTTTGGATCCATTGCTCCGTGTCCGCTTCTCTGGAGCAGCAGAAAACAACCTTTCTCCCTCCTCTATGGGACATCCTTTTATATATTTGAACATGGCTATCATATCACCCCTTAACCTCCTCTTCTCCAGGCTAAACATGCCCAGCTCCCTTAGCCGTTCCTCATAAGGCATCGTTTCCAGGCCTTTGACCATTTTGGTTGCCCTCCTCTGGACACGTTCCAGTTTGTCAGTGTCCTTCTTGAACTGTGGTGCCCAGAACTGGACACAGTACTCCAGGTGAGGTCTGACCAGAGCAGAATACAGTGGCACTATTACTTCCCTTGATCTAGATGCTATACTCCTATTGATGCAGCCCAGAATTGCATTGGCTTTTTTAGCTGCCGCGTCACACTGTTGGCTCATGTCAAGTTTGTGGTCAACCAAGACTCCTAGATCCTTTTCACATGTACTGCTCTCAAGCCAGGTGTCACCCATCTTGTATTTGTGCCTCTCTCTTCCCCCCCCAAAGATATTTATTAAAGTTTTTAAAATATAACAATGAAAATGAAAAATAAAAAATACAAAATACAACATAAAAACAGTTAAAAAACAAATAATTTTCCATAACATATCTTCCTTACGCTTATTTCCCCAGACCTCCTCATACCTCCCTTCTTTGTATTCCACTTCAATTTGTTAGTTCAGCAAATCCTTACCATTAAGCTTTTACGTTTCCGAGCACCATTAAGCTTTTACGTTTCCGAGCACAATTCAAAGTGTTGGTGCTGACCTTTAAAGCCCTAAACGGCCTCGGTCCAGTATACCTGAAGGAGCGTCTCCACCTCCATCGTTCTACCCGGACACTGAGGTCCAGCACCGAGGGCCTTCTGGCAGTTCCCTCACTGCGAGAAGCCAAGTTACAGGGAACCAGGCAGAGGGCCTTCTCGGTAGTGGCGCCCTCCCTGTGGAACGCCCTCCCACCAGATGTCAAAGAGAACAACTACCAGACTATTAGAAGACATCTGAAGGCAGCCCTGTTTAGGGAAGCTTTTAATGTTTGATGTATCATAGTATTTTAATATTCTTTTTGAAGCCGCCCAGAGTGGCTGGGGAAACCCAGCCAGATGGGTGGGGTATAAAATAATAAATTATTATTATTATTATTATTATTATTATTATTATTACCCATTTGTAAACCTTTTTTTTCCGTATCTCCAAAAGCATTACAGCTGGAAACCCCTTAGTTTCTTGCCAACATCAAGTCAGAGGGAATCCGCCATTACCGATGGCGCCACCCCAGAAGTATATGCTCCTACTTCCAGAAGTGAAACTCTGCACATGCTCTTAGCAATTGCTGCACAAAGAGTTTTTCAGGTGAATCACTTTGATGTGGATGTGGCCTATTTGAACTCAGAGCTCCAGGAGGATCTGTACATGCTTCCTCCTTCAGCGTTTGAGGGCAATGAGCTGAATACCCATTTGTAAACCTTTTTTTTCCGTATCTCCTAAAGCATTACAGCTGGAAACCCCTTAGTTTCTTGCCAACATCCTTCTAACATTCATTAATTTTACAATATTTCTGTAAATAGTCTTTAAATTTCTTCCAGTCTTCTTTCACCAACCCTTCTCCCTGGTCTCGGATTCTGCCAGTCATTTCTGCAAATTCCATGTAGTCGATCACCTTCATCTGCCATTCTTCCAGAGTGGGTAAATCTTGTGTCTTCCAATGTGCCTCTCATTTTTTTTTGCCCAAGTGCAATACTTTACATTTATCCCTGTTAAAATTCATCTTGTTTGTTTTGGCCCAGTTCTCTAATCTGTCAAGGTCGTTTTGAAGTGTGATCCTGTCCTCTGGGGTGTTAGCCACCCCTCCCAGTTTGGTGTCCATCATCCAAGTTGTTGATAAAGATGTTGAATAAGACCGGGCCCAAGACAGAACCCTGTG